GTGTGGAGAGTGGTCTCAGCATGGCTGTGGCTGGGTCCCAGAGGTCTTCAGCTGCTGGGACTTTGCTCAGGGCAGAGATGGAAACTCAACCCACCCGGCTCCAAGGGGCCCCGGTGAGGACAGCCAAGCGCGGGAGCAGGAGACTCTTTTTGTTTTGTGATATGTGAACATTATTATGACTTTAGTTTGGGAGCCGTATCAGGTAGTGCTTGGGTGCTACTCCCTGCTCAGTGCTCGAGGGTCATTCCTAGTACTGCTCAGAGAACCTTAAGGTACAGGGAACTGAAGCTGCAAAACATGTGCTTTGAATGATCTTCCCAGCTCTGGAAACATTATTTTTAAAGGATCACTTCATTTTAATAGAGAGAACTATGAAACTGGGTTCTCTGAAGTATCAACATCCCTGCCTGGATGGTTAGCTAGAACATTCCTCCAGAAAAACAAGGTTAGGACTGACTGCTTAAGTCTGAATTATTGCCATTGTTAAGGTAAAAGTAAATTACCTGTAGTAGTGATTCTCAATTCTCTGTGCTCATTAAAATTCCCTGGGGAGCTTTGAAGCTGGGCAGAGCCAAGTTCTAACTCCCAACCAGGGAGTAGACCCTGGGCATTGTTCTTGTTTTGAAAGCTCCCCAGGTGAATGTAAATTGGAGCCAAGGTCAGAACATTGTTCTAGACAGCTCAGAAACAAATGAAGTAAATCAAATCTCTATTTCTGTTTTTCATGTGACATCTAACGATTATTGCTTCAATGTCACTTGTTTTAAATCACCAGCCAACTAGGTTGTCTGAAGTTTTAATACCAAACATTTTAAGAAGGCAGTTGGGTAAAGCCTCTTTACAATTCTTTCCCAGTGGACTTTTCAGGCTCTCGGTTCCCTACAAGCCTGTTTCAATTTCGTGGAAATCACAGCATTCCAACACTCGCTAAATTTTTATTCCTGTTTTTAGTTCCTTGCAGTGTTATTTCTGTCATGTCTGCACCTCCGTGTATACTTGGCAAAATGCTATTTATTCTGGAAAGGCCAGCTTAAAAGTCATATAAAAATAAAATATTTTATATAATGCTTATTGTGTAACTGAAAATCACTCGAATAATTTCCTGGAGAAGTCATATTACCTACAGATAAATGTAGAGTTAATTATAACATCTCTCAGTTTCCACAAAACTTATAATTACTTAGTGCTATAATCTCAAAGGGAGACATTTAAGTTTTTGAGGAACTTGACATAGGCATTTGAGTTATATTCTAAACAGTTTAAATTTCAACAGCTTTTATTCCAAACCCTTGTAATTATTTTAAGAAGACCAAAGTATGCTTTTTTTCCATTTCAAGTGTAATTATTCAGATCTTAAACAATTTAGATATATTTAAAATAGTAAGACCGAATTTTTCTTAGCGTTTAATTTTCATATTTGACCAATATGTGTACCTCTGAATAAGAGAAAATTAGATTTTTCTCTTTTATATTTTTTAAATTCCTTTTGTCTTTGATGCTACAGGAAGTGAACTTGCTAAGTCCCTGATACTCGATATTTCCCTGACTCAGATAAGGGCCAGCATTTTTACTGAGACAGGAGTTGTGAAATCTCTTCTTCTTAAGATACTTGTCCCCTGAAAGGGTTCAGAATATTCCCTGCAAAACAGTTTCAGTCACATGAGCACCTATTAGGCGGAGGGGAGAAATGCTTCCTTCCTGCTATCAGAAGAAAAAGATACCCTAAAATATACCACGACTTTGAACATCAGCGAGACTACACACGGGAGAAAAGCCAATAACGTTTTTAATGAAAATTTGATTTTTTTTAAAAACGAAAGCTCTGGTTCTCTGGCGTAAGGTTTCTTACTTCTTCCCCACTGCCGGATTTCTGTGAACTATAAAGGTAATAGCCAGTATATTTGCTAATATTCTAAGTGTGCATCCCTCAGACCCACCCCATTAGAGCAGGGGCGGATTGGGGTGGGGTGCGAAGGGCTGGCAAGGATCCCCAATCAGGAGAGTTCTTTTCTAGGACAATTTTAGTGTCTCCGGGGCAAGTTTCTTGAATTGATAACTGCTCGATTTTCGGGTAGGAGCCCGTCAAGGGTAGGTAGTTGCAGGCCAGCGGGAACTGCTCCTACGTCTCCGGGCCGTGATTGATCCCTCCGCAGACTCTCCATCCAACTCGGCCGCGACGGGCTGGAGGCTGCGGTCCCGCCGGTGCCGACTGCGGGCCGCCACTGGAGGGCGTCGGGCAGCTTCCGAACAGCTCTGCGGCACCGGGAGCCCTCGGGCAGGGCAGGGCAGGACAGGAGGGGGACCTGAGCCTCTCTCCGGTCCTCCTGGACCAGGGAGAAAAGGGGCACAGCCGGCAGGTTTGGGGGCGACACGGACCGCCTTGCTTGCTTGGGCTCGGACCTTCCCGCCGAAAGTCCCCAAAGAGCAGGACAGGATGACGAGGCGCGCGGGACCCGGAGTGCCAGTCTGCGGGGTGGGCGCCCCGGAGGGCCAGTCTGCGGGACGGGCGCCCCGCAGTCAGTGACCGGCGCTGGAGCCTGGCATCTCGGTCCGGGGTGCGGGCCCGAGTAGAGCGGGCTGGGAGACCCTCCCGACCGCGTCCCGAGCGTTTATTTCTCCTGCAGGGATTGCGCAGCGCAGGGCCCCGGGATGTGGATGGCGAGGTGTCAGGTCCCTCGGGTGGACTCCCCGCTCGCATCTGTTTTCTCCCAAGCTGTAGGTTCGCACTGAATTGCAGTCACTTTGACACTGATTTTTATTATTATTATTATTTTTAAAAAAGGTGTTTTCACAGCATCCCTTTAGAAAAAAGCCTCGCTTCCTGCTTCTCAACGTTTAGATCCCTGGAAGAAAGGCTGGCGGCCGCTACCGAGACCCCAGGTCTCCGGACAGTCCCTCCTCCGGCAGGGCGCGCAGTGGGACCGTGCAGCTGCACGAGCCATTCGCTGGGGGCCGGGAACGGAGGCCGACCTCGGGACCCCCAACCCTGGCCACTGAAGGCTTCCACTCAGGTCAAAAGCTGTCACATCGCTCCCAGAGTGATTCAGCACCCAAAGGGTTACGCGCGGTGCCGGTGAGGGCGGCGGCGAGGGCGCCTCGGCGCTCCCCGTAATTCAATTAGTCAGGTTTCTGGAGGTGGGTGCGGGGGGGGGGCGCACTTCGGGAAAACGCCCCTTCTGGTGGAGCAAGCCAATCCAGTCTGGGCGAAGGGGGGGGCACGCTTCCCCCAGCAGCAAGCGCACGGCAGGCCGCCCGCCCATTGGACGCTGCGCCACTCTCCGCCCCTTCCCAAGTCAACTGGAGGGTGGAAAAAAGCGGCCACATGACCTGGGCCGCGGCGGCCGCCTCCCGGGCTGGGCTCCAGCGGGCGACACCGCCCCCTGCTCGGGCCCGCGCTCAGCCCCGCGACCCCCGTGCCCGTGCGCGCTCCCCTGTGCCTGTGCGCGCTCAGCCCTGGTCCGCGGGCCCCGCACCCGTGTGCGCGCCCCCCGTGCCCGCGCGCGCTCCTTCCCGTGCCCGTGTGCGCTCAGTCCCGACCCTAGGCCCCCGTGCCCGTGCGCACTCAGCCCCGCTCCCCCCGTGCCCGCGCCCGCTCAGCCCCGCGCCCGTGCCCGTGAGCGCGCTCCCGAGCGGCGGCGGCGGCGGCGGCGGCTGGCTGGCCGCGGCTCCGGGCTCTCCACGCAGGGCATTAACGAGGGGGCGTGCCCGAGGAGCTTTTTTTTCCCATCAAGCATTTTTTCTCTCTCTCTCTCGCTCTCACTCTCTCCTTCCACCCCCCCCCCCCCCACCTCTTTTGCAAAACTGACTTTTACCCCTTTCCACTTCTCGCCAGTCGTTCCGGTCCTCCCCGCGCTGCTCGTGCTGCTGCTGCTGCTGCGGCGGCGGCGGCGGCACTCAAGTTTATTTTCCCGCCTGGGAGGGATTTTCGGGTTCGCTCGGCGGCTCGCACCGCGCGTGGCGGGTGCAGCCCGGCGGGGCGAGAGGAGCAGCTGCGGGAGCGTCGGGGAGGTTTTCCGATGTAGTCATCGGGGAGGTGCCACCCGCTCGTGCGCGCGCTCCCTTTCTCTCCCCGGGTCGCAACTGATTGATGCATCTCTACAAGTTGCCGGGCTTCGCGCCGGACCGCTCCGAGTGGCGGGGACACTTCTGAGAGCCCGCCCGGGGCTCGAGTCTCGCTCGCCGAAGGCGGCCGCAGGAGGCTGGCCCCGTCGTCCTCCGCGCGCTCGGGACTCGCAGGGATCGGCGCGAAAGTGATTGTTTGCCCTCGCGCTCTGCGGCGCCGCGGCGGGGCTGGCTTCGTCGTGCAGGGCTGGGCACCGTCGCTCCGCCCGGCTGGCCGGCCCGTGACCTCCGCTCTCCGTTCGCCCGGGCGCACGCCGACGCCCGGCCCCGAGCAGCCCGTGCCAGGACACCTCCCCGCGCCCGCCGCCGCCCGACTCCGCCGGGGGGACCTGCCGGCGAAGCACGCGAGGACCCAAACTTTTCTCTGAGGTTCGCCCGGCGAGGTCGCTCCTCGGCAGCTCCCGGACGCCGGCGGTGGCTCGGGATCCCCGCCCTGCCCCGCGCGGCGCCTCCGACTGCTCCGGCGCCTGCAGGGTCGCGGCGGACGCGCGCCGCCTCCGCCCGCTGCCAAAGTAACTTGGAGCGAAGCGGGGCGCCGACGCGGAGCCGGCCCGGCGGGCCAGTGCATGTCTCCCCGCGGCCGCGGCGCGCAGCTCCCGGCGACCGTGCAGCGTGCGCCGCCGCCCGCCCCGGCCCCCGCGCAGCCCCTGCTCCCGGGGTGACCCGCCGCGCACACGCCCGCCGCTCTCCGCCGCTCGCCCCCTCCGGAGCCCTCCGGCGCGGGCGCCACTGGGTCTCCTGCTGCCCTGCCCGCCGCCCGGTTTTCTGCCCGCTCGCCTCCCCCTCCCCGGCGGGGCGCGCGCCTCTTTCGGGTCTCGCTGCTCCTCCCGTTTCCCTTGGGTGTTTTTTAATTTATTCCTATTTATTTGGCTCCCGAGCGCGCTCGCCTTCCTCCCCCCTCCTTTCCCCGGATTCCGGCTCTCTCCCGGAGCGGCGCGCCGGGGGCTCCGCCGCTGGCCGGGCGTGATGCTGCACGTGGAGATGTTGACGCTGGTGTTTCTGCTGCTCTGGATGTGCGTGTGCAGCCAGGACCCGGGCTCCAAGGCCGTCGCCGACCGCTACGCCGTCTACTGGAACAGCAGCAACCCCAGGTAAGGCGGCGCGGGGCGCGGCGCGGGGCTCCCGGGCCTCGGCCCTGCGGGTGCGCGGCGACGCCTGCGGGCAGCGCTCCCGCGGCGCCCCTCTTTGTTAGGCTGCGGCTGGGCGGCCGGGCGCCCCCGGGGGTTCCCGGGGGTCCCCGGGGCCGCGGCGCGCGGGGAGACGCGGAAAAGGCGGGAGCCGGAGAGGCCAGCCCTCACTGGCGGCCGCGCCGGCCGGCTGGCATCCCGAGCGGGGCTCAGTGCTGGGGTGCTGGGGAGCCCGCCCGGAGATGGGTGCGTCGCGGATTGCGGGGAGCCCCCCTCCGGACATCTGCAAAGTTGTGTTCCCCCCTCCGGCCCTCCTCCGCATCTCGGATATTTCCTTCCCTTCTGGGGGTGCGCTCGGAGCGCACGGGCCGGGGGCAGTGAGGGGGGCTGGGAAGCGGAAGCTTTAGGCTTTTTATTTTCCTCTTTAACTGCAAGAGAGCGAGCGAGAGAAAAATCACCCGACTTCTGGGTCTGTCTGGGCGAATCGCCCCCTCCTGCATCTGCCATCCTCGGGTGGGCTCAGGGGGCTGGAAGTTGGAGCTAAGGCCGGGTCACGTCCTGTGCGTCGGGCGAGCTGCTGGAGTTGGCAGCGTCCTGGGGAGGTGGGGGGACCCCGCGCCGCGTCTCGGGGCGCCAGCGCGACTACCTGGCCCCGAGCTGCGGGCGGCCCCGAAGCCCGGGCCCGCGGAAGGCTGGAGGTGGACGCCCGCGCGCGCCCCCTGGACCTCGCCTCCAGCTGGGGGACGAGGATGAGGGGTGTCCGGGCTGCCGAGGGGAGCCCCTCCGACCCCTTCCTTTCGGCAGGGCCGGATGGCAGCTGCGAGCTGTGTCGGTGCTCGGCGCCCCGCACTGGCCCGCCCCAGGGCGGCCGGCTGCGAGGGCTGCGGGGTGCGAGACGCAAAGAACCCCGGCGCTCCTCCCGCGGGGCACCCGCTGCGCCCCGGCCGGGGAAAGTGCCCCAGCCGCTCGCGCGTGGGGAGCCCGGGCCCACCTGGATCCTCGGGGCGCAAACCCACGCAGCGCTGCGGGGTGGCCACCGAGAGCGCCAGGGTGGGCGGCGGGCTGGACGTGCCACTTAGCACTCGTAGTAAAGGAGAGGAGCTAGCCACCCTGGCACAGGCCCTTTATGGAAGCTGACAAGACAAATAGAGCCGGCCTTCCAGTTGCGATGGTGTTAAAAGCAAGTCTCATTACGGTGGTCGGGCTTATTCCCCTCTGGGCTTTATTAGACAGCCGGGATGAAACGGAGGAATCTCTTTCTCAACTTAAGAGCCCTGTTAGATCAAGCCCCTCGGAAATTGATGCGTCGAATTTGGGACGTTCGACTCTTGGTTCTCTTTTCCCTTTGCAAACTTCCCCGTGTGATTTTTGCCTCGTGGTACCTACTGTTATTCCTTTATGTGGAGACCTGGGTGTGCCGAAGGTCTGGCGTTAAAACAGAAAGAATCCACACCCTCCTCCTTAACCTGTCGAGCTAGTCTGAGTTGGTTCAGGACGTTTTATCTGAGGTTATCTCTGTTTTATGCTTTTGATACTGTTGTTTGGTTTGAGATTAGTACATTGATTTTTGTCTCAGGTCATGTTTTTTAATAGATTTGCCCTGCCTGCAGAAAACCCTTCTGCTCAGGTTGCCATGTGGCTTTGAACCTGCCCAGACAAAGTTCATCTGTAGAATTTTAAAATGCCCAGTGTATTCTTGGTCAGTATTTTCACTTGAGGATTGCGGAAGGGCCCTCCTGTTGGAGGAGTATCAGTTGGGCAATGGGCATGGGAAACGCTGCTGTATCCTCCCCTCCACACACCTAGAATCCTTAACCATTCTCTGGGCTTTATGGATACTCTATCGTCATGTTACCCCAACAAAACTCATTTTCGGAAAAATAAGAGTTTCAAAACTAGGTGCTTCTGGTCAGCAGTTTCATCTCTGAAATTTTGAGTAAGACGGTGCTTTAGATTGCCTTAAGAAAGTCAGCTTGGTTGTAAGTGAAAAGGAACCCAATGCAATTTTGAGATAATTTTGAAATAAACAATAATTTTATTGCAAAAGGTTGTGCAAGAAATTTTGGAGGAAACTCACAGGTTTTTTACACATTTACACTCCCAGTATTTTACACATTTCATGTTAAAACTTTAAAAAAAATTGTTATCATTTTGTTGAATAAGTTTTCCAGGTCTTTTGTTTTGACATAATCCCGTCTTTTAAGATTTTGCAGAAGATGTAAGTCTATTTTGGAAAGAGGGAAAACTTTAATTGCTATTTAAGTAGATTTTTTTTTGACTCAGATGATAAGTTTAGATCACATGTTTAGTTGAGAAAAATTAATATTGCAACAGAATGAAGTAGATTTTCACTTATACTAATGAACTTTAGTTTGCAATTATGTTTAGTTAAAATTAGAATTAAACATTACTTTGTAAATATTTGAATCTACTGCATAACTTGCGTAGTCATTAGGAGTTTACATTGGATTTTAGTATTGACTTCACTGACCATGGCATACTTTAACAGGAAAAAAAAAATCAACTTATTTTCTCTCAGGTAGTTTTGTTGTTAGAATCTGTCTTTCCATATAATCACTTCTGGGCAGTGAATGTTCACTTTTTAAATGCTGATAATTTTTAGTTGCCAGTATTTATTTGGTTGTGGGCCGAATTGATTTTATGTGTAGAATTGATATAAATCTCTTAAATTGAAACTGAGAACTATTATTCTGAATAGAAATATATATCATTTGCCTAACTGTATCTGCTGTATTTTAGAAATTGGAAAAGTTTCCGGATTCCACCTAAATAGTAAGAGCAAAAGAATGAGCCTTTACTCAGATGTTGAAATCTGGACCAGTTTGGTACTAAGTAACTTTAAGCAATGAAAAATATAAATCAGTGCTAATGTAACTACTCTCAATTTTTTAGGAATATAAAAAGATCTTAATAACTTTAAAAATGACTTTCAGTAATAAAATTGTATTTGTATTCTTTCCAAGTATCTATCTATAGAAAGAGATGATTCAGTATAGAATGTCTCTTAATTGGAAGCATAAACATGACAATATTCATTTAAACACTTAGCATGTATTGCAAAGTTCTTGAATTCTTTTGACCAGTTGCCAGAATGATGTTAGGATAATTAAACATGTCTTCTCCTGGTTGCCTTTAATGGGTGAAATAGTAAAATAATACAGTGCAAATATAGCCAGCACAGTTTAAGAATACTGATTTGGTACTTTGCTTCTGTTAAGATTTGAGCACCATTGGCATAAAAGGTTATTATCTGAAGGGGAAAATATCTCTATAATTCATCGGGGATTTACTAAATTTCAAACTAATCATATTTTGTCTTTGGGCTTTTTCTGCTCTTGCAGAGACTTGTAAATTAAACATTTCATGTTAGAAGTAGTCGGTAATTGACACTATTTAGTTTTGTTAACTGCAATCTTGGAGTTGTGAAAGTGATGTGTGTTCTAGGTCAACAGTCCCAAATCTCTCTGACAAGGGCAGGTCATAGCCATGTACATGGCAATGTACAGTAGAGAGAAGTAGTTGTGACATTCTCTCTCTCTCTCTCTCTCTCTCTCTCTCTCTCTCTCTCTCTCTCAATTTTTCCCTAAGCACAATCTCTGGAGTACTTTTTTTTCTTTCAAAATCTACTTGTTCATTTTTTACCACCTGTGCCAACAGTGTTTTCTTATGTCTATCCCAGTATGCCAGAGCTGTGCCTTAAAATCCATAAATTTGTTTTGAACAGAGATAGAGAAAGTGGATCTCATTTTTGCATTAGTTTTATCACTGACCTTATAACCGTTTGACTTTGTTTTTGACATTCTAAATCTCCTAGTGGTGCTTTCATACTTGAGAAATATGTAGATTCTTCAAGAAAGACACAAGTTAAAACTATATAGCTGTGACTCAACCCCCAATATAATGTGTCACATTATTTGAGGCCTTGAGGCCACTTTATCATTTTGATATTTCTATCAGATATGTATGTAAACTCTTGGCTAAGAATTTAAGCAGATCTCAGGGGTTCATCCATATCCATTCAGAGGAGCACAGAAATGAACCCTTTTCTGTCCTTCTTGAATGTAGAAATTCATACAAATAGGCTTCTTTCTGGACAGCTTGTCATAGAATTTTAAAGGCAAAGTTGGCTACTGAGCAGTTATGTCCCTTCCATTTTATGCATCATAATATGTATTCATAACTTCTCAGAAATAGACAATTGTCTTTTTTAAGGTGACTGCAACAGTGGCTTTCGTGTGAAGCACACTTGGCCATGCCGTCTATTTTGGTATTTCCTGTGTGCGACAAGGTCAATAAACTTCTGATTAAAAGAATCAGAGAGCACGTTCAGTGACTCCCCGTGAGTTGATTTTAGTGCTAGTTACATCCTTAGCCTGATGAATGAATATCTCCTTTCCGTGGATGTTCTAGTCGGTCATCAATAGCTTTAGAGTTCAGCCTTTGAAAACTAAGACTCAGGTTTGAAAAGAACTTAGTTATTGAGGGATAGGGTAGGTCGGGGAATATGTGCAAATTAATCTTGTGGATTTCTTGCCATCCAATTTTACAAGATGCCTTCTGAACAGGCATTTTATTGCATTCTGTCCACTGTGCTGGTTTCCTGTTGGTTAAGGACAGATAAAGATGAGCAACTGCTTTTCTCCCCTGTTGCTATGACCCAAACAAGCTACCAGCTTCATGCTGGGCCAAGAAAATGAATGAATACAATTAGTCCTTCAGTCGTCCTGGCCTTTGCAAGGTTGGTAGTAGCGTATGCCAAGAGAAAGTACCTGTGAGAAAAGAAAAAAAAGACATTAAAATATGAAATAATCAAAGAATTAATAAAATAGTAGAGCAGAAATGTGTGTGTGTGCGTGCGCGCATGAATGTGTGTGTGTGTGTGTGTGTGTGTGTGTGTGTAGAGAATTTGTCCTATGGTTCAGTGGCCCCCGCTCCAGTAGAAA